AGTGATGTACGCGTTGAGCACGGATGCGAAGTAAGGAAAAGGAATTTTCCTCATGGTCTGATGATTTTATAAGACTGATTCTACATTCAAAAGCGGTACAATCCAGAACCAGGCTTTATCGTCTAGAAACTTACTGCACCCCACCGGCTTCATTTTTTTTCTCATTTCGCCACCCTCCCTCATTTTTCCGAATCGATTGCACTTGTTCCTTGATTGCCCAATGAGCGAGCTGTACGACCAACGTGTCACATCGAAGTCCCCCCCCCTGCAATACAGCAGAGAAATCGGGAACCGAATCGCACCATATCGCACCACAAGTCACAACTCACGAACGACCCGTATGTCCAGCTCTACCTTGACTTGCTGATTTTTCTGATTCTGCCCATCCTGCTTTCTACCATGGCTTGGCTTCAAGAACAATTGATCCAAGCAAGCTTCACGTCATGAACACGTCACAAGAAGGTGCATTATAGCTCTCTCGGATCAGCCAATCGTAGCTCGCCTCTTTTTCTCGCCTAGAGCTGCTATTATCAAGACTGACGAATTTCGATTCGACACCAATGCCATTCCGGCAGATGCGCTCGTCCATCTTATTGATGGTACGCGTAACACCTGACGCCCATCGATTAACCTTCAAGTTTGAGAATCGTTCGGCTGAGATACTTTCGCTGAGTCTCCACTCATCAAGTCGGTCAATCTCGACCGTCAGCCGTCACGCCGGGTCTTTCTACCAGTGGTCCTTCCATCCCGACCCTCAGCGTGACAATTAATGAGGGTGATTTCAGTCCCTAGGATCTCATCCAGTTCTTCATTTCGTTTACCTCTCTACTACTAGCAGTAACTTTGCTTTCCCTTGCGAACTGATTCCTACCTAGTTGAGTAATTGTTACCTCATGGCCTTCATTCGTGCTCGCTGCGTCTTACTGTTTGGTAAGCGTTACTCCTGGCGTGAGTTCGCAACACCAATGCCAGCTCACTCAAACTCTTTGCTTGCCAGCAGTCAACCAGGCATTATAACCCGATCGCTGATTTCGCCTCGTCGTGTATGTGCTTCGTGCAGCGTTCCTTGCGGCGGCGCTGGTGACGGTTGCCTACGCACAGAAATCTGGTCAGTTAAAAAAACAAAACCCTCTTGTATTTCCCTTCAAAATTCCACGTTTGCATTCCCCTTCCGGTATGAACACCTTAATTCCACCATGAATCTCCAATGTCACACCGAAAGGTCAATGGCCTGTGACTTTCCAACCTGAACTCACCTTCTCTCTCAGTCTCACCCCAACAGATACCTTCTCTTGCAATGTCTCACCGCCAAGCACCAACCTCACCTCCACCATCCTCCTCCCATTCCTGTCCCCTTCCCCCCCACCCTTCCCCCCCGTGATCTTCCCTCATCTCCCCCTCTCCCCCATGAGCTTTCCTTTTCAACAGTCACCATCTATGCCAAGCTGAATGACTACAAAGAGGTTCCCTCGGATGACACAGAAGCTGCCCGGAACGCAGTTGGCGACCGAACCGGCGGCAATGGGGACATGGCAATGAGAATCTACAAGTGAGTCCGTCAGGGACACATTGTTGCTCCATGTCTCTCCAACAGCTCCTATTTTGGAATCCGCAGCTCCAGCAGTGGAGAGCCAATGGCAGTTGCTCTGCGAATTCCTTCTTCCATGTTCAAATCTTGAGTTTGTCATGTGATCCACACTTAACCATGTTAAAATTGTCTTCAAAATTAACCCCCGTTTTTCGCTGGTGTGCGATATGCAGGAGAAGAGGTCAGCCTGTGTGGACCGAATACTCAGTGATGCCTGAAAATATGGATGAAGATACGCCTCCGACCATGACGCAGATCCACAAAGCACCAGAGGGATCGAACGGTCCTGTGGTGTTAGATCTGCCGTGCACGTACCAGCAGATGGGGAGCAGAGACTGGTTATGCAACGGCAGTCTTGGGAAAGAAGCAGCGGAACGGACTGGAGAGCTTGCGTCGGCCCTCAAGGAGCTTTTGGAGAATCCGAGTGGGTTCTACTTGAACCTTCACACGGAAAAGTATCCTGATGGTGCCATGCGCGGGCAGTTTTTTAAGAGTTGATTAATGTATACACTTCATTGAGTAGAACCAAAAGAACTTGTGAGAAGTGAACAGTACGGTAGGAGTCAGGGGGAGTCCTGTTTGCACTACAACCACAAGCTAAGGAGATGGTTAGGGGTGAGGGGAGTGTGTAGTTGGGTTGGGTTTATGTGAGTGGGGGTGGGATATGGGGCTGCTACTTCTTATTGTGTGTTTTTGGCTTTCTCTGTTTTCATTGCTGTTGGTATGATGAAACTACAAGTGAAATGGGCTTGCTTCCCTGATGTACGGTACTAAAGTAAAAACAAGCACCAAGCTGCATGCATCTAATTCTGTGCCTTGCCTTGCCATGTACCGTATGCCTATCCACCCCACCGTAGTCTGCTGATGAACCTCTTTGTTCCCACTTCCCCCTTCTCTGTTCCATGTGAACCTGCTCCCTGTTCCCTGCTCCCTGCTCCCTGGTCTGCCGATGGCGCTTCTTGTTCCCTGTTTCCTCTTTTTCTGATCCATCTGACGTTGTTTGCGTTCCCTGATCCATGTTCCCTGATCCCTGTTCCCTGCCCCTGCCATCTTCACTCCCCTAGTATGCCTGAAACTTCCAGCCAAATCCACTCCTTGGGGCCTACTCCTGCTCCCCCTGTGCCACACACAGCTCACATTGGCACAGAAAGCCGTAGTCTGCTAGCGCTTCCTTTCGATCCTCTAGTGGAAGAGACTTCAATCGATTCCAACCCATTCCCTAGGTCCTGGTACCTACTCCTGCCCCCCCTGTGCCACACACAGGCCACATCGGCACAGAAAGCCGTAATCTGCTAGAGCTTCCTTTCGTTCTTCTAGTGGGAGAGACTCCTCAACATATGATATGAACACCTGTGGGTGATATTGGGAGGGGGGAGGGGGGAAAGGTGGGGGAGGAAACGTAGAGACTTGTATTGGGCAGAGAGAAATCCGGCCTGGAATAAAAACTGTTTCAGAAACAACTTATCCTGCCCCGATTGGATTACCAATGAATGCATTGAAACAACATGCGTCCAAATACATGGAGAATGGATGGGAAAGACCCGAACAGACGAACCTGCTCTCCTTTCTTGATGTCTCGGCTTGCCAGCAGCACTGCTCGGCCATCCATGTCCTGCCACGTGTCACAGCAGCACAGGGCCAGAGTTAGTGATTGTCGCAGCACAGGGCCAGCAGTAGAGTAATGTCTGCTGAGCTTCAGAAAAACTCAGGATCTACTGGCGAGTTGCATGGGGGCGAATGTCAGGTGAACCAGTGGGGCCTCCACTCATAACGTTTTTTTTTTTTCTCTCTTTTTCCCGCAACGTTGTATTGTTCATCCTCATAACGTCCTTTGGGTGGGAGAAACTATGGATGCAGGCCTCCTCAACTATCTTGTGCAGGCCTCCGTAGTGCTTCTTGTGGTGTCCTCACCATGACCCACCATAACATGCATCATGCAGATTGGACGCTGTTCCAATCACTTCAACCATCTTGTGCAAACCCTCACCACATCTCGCTTGAAGGCATGCGGCTTTTTGAGGCGTCTCAAAAGCCGGTTCAGGACGACTCAAGAGTCACCTCTTGGGAACTATGGAAGCCCTCAGGAAGACGGAGGGCATCCTCACCATACATGACTCACCATCTTGCTGCAAACACTCACCTCGTCTCGCTTGAAGGCGTGTGCATTCGGGCAGCATGAGTGGTTGATGCTGCTCTGAAGAGAGTAAAAGGCCGTGCCTGCTAGGCAGAGAACGGAGAAAAAGAGAGAGACAGCTATTAAGTTGATGCAAAACGGGGAGTGACACGTGGATAAGTGAAAGGCAGTGCCTGGAGAAGTGGACCGAATGACACAGGGAAGGTAGAGCTGTCAGTTACAGTAGAATCGGACAATCGAGATTCAAAAAGCATCGAAAGTGAATTCAGATACAAGGATCTGATGTAGGGCAGTGTGGCCAACAGAAAGAAGCAGCAGTGGATAATGATTGCTGCAGCAATCCATCATCAGCACAGCGCACACCAGTGGCAGCAAATCACCGACTTCTGAGCCGACTTAAAAGTAATCAGCAGCATTGTCATACCTTGACAGTGCCACTGCAGCAAATCATCATAATCACTATCATCGTCATCATCATCACCATCATCCTCCACCTCTTCATCCCCATCCTTCCCTGTACCCTCCTCTTCCTCATCGCCACCATCCCTCCCCCCTCCCCCTTGCTCTAGCAGCTCCCTTAGCGGGCCAACCACTGCCTCTGCAGGTGCCTAAACCAACAAGCACACGCGCATGGACAGGTGTGTGAAATAAAGAATGAAATGCCAAGAATGAAATGTCTCGATATATCTGAACATATCTATATACATATATATTCTTCTGTGCTTTTTTTTTTCATCCGCTCAATTGCGATGCCTGCACGAACAAGCACACATATGCACTGACAAGTGCACGAAAAAAAGAGTGAAATGAAACATTTCAGAGAGACTGAGATGAGATGTCTCATCGAGAATCGAAGGCCGCATAAGTAATAAAATGTTAGACAGTCATACCCTGTGCATATCTCTGCTTTTTCACCTGCTCAGCCGCACTCATGTCTTGAATCCGATTGAAATAGGTTGTTACTGGGGAAGGCACTACCAGGTCCCTGAAGGGAAGGCCATGGGACGATAGGAACGAAAAGGCTGTGTTGTGTTGAAGCAGGTTGATACTGGGGAAGGTACCAACATACTTGGGAGAGTGGGAGATGGGAGGGAGATGATGATTGGAAAGGAAGCTGGTTGTTGAGGCCCTTACAGGTTGTTGAGTTCGAACATGTCAATGATAGACCCGTAGACTGAAAGCGATAGCACTAGTACGATCTGGTGTAGAGCTTACATGTAGTTGATTTAAATTCCAGGCACCTCCAAAGGACTAACGTAGCTGATTTGAGATGCTTACAGATTGTTGAGTTCAAACATGCCAATGATAGACCCGTAGACTGATAGTGACAGCACTGGTGGGAGGAGAAGGGAAGGGAATATGGAACGAAGAACAGGCATATTTCTCATGTGATTCCACCACCGTACAAGCATGGATGCAAGTACTTCACCTGTCACGGCTGCATGAAATGCTGCAGATGGCTCAAATAGTTCACCTCATAATTAACACAGTACATGGTTACACTCACACGGTTACACTCACATGGTTACACTCACACGGTTACACTCACACGGTTACACTCACACGGTTACACTCACATGGTTACACTCACACGGTTACACTCACACGGTTACACTCACACGGTTACACTCACACGGTTACACTCACACGGTTACACTCACACGGTTACACTCACATGGTTACACTCACACGGTTACACTCACATGGTTACACTCACATGGTTACACTCACATGGTTACACTCACATGGTTACACTCACATGGTTACACACTCACACGTTTACACTCACATGGCTGCAGCACAGGCGGTTGTGGGCCTATGGCTTGAGTGAGCAGTTTAAGAGACTGAGGGAACAGGGGAATGGAAAGGAGGAAATTGGGTAAGGAAAGAAAATATAAGGGAAGAAAGGAGGAGTAGAAACGATGGAAGAACAGGGGAAGAAGGATGAACAACGGAAGAAGAGGAGGAACAGGGGAAGACAGTACAGACAGTCACAATCTGTAGCAAAACTAAGGTAGCGAATTCCACAGAAGGAAAATCAAACTAGTCACAGCAGCAAAGATACAGCAGTGACCTATGAACAATCTGAGCCGTCCATTCACCTCCATCACACCTCCTCGGCCATCGATTTCATGCAGGCTCGGAAGGAAGCTTCCTCGTCGCTTCCTGCTTCCACGTCAGGCGGGCAAGCCACTGCCTCCCACCATCTGCAACGGCGAATCACGAGAGGACACGTGGCGTCAACCAATTCACAGAAAAATACAAATGGCAGCACAAATCATAATGGCCACGCACTTGCTCTCACCCCCCCCCCCCCCCCCCCCCCCCCAACTCACACAGCCTTGTGACCCACAGCAAACGGCGTCCATGCCTCCAGCACCACCTTCCACCTCACACCACCCCTTCACTCACCCCCCTCCTCACACCATTCCTTCTCACCCCCCTTCACTCACACAGCCTTGTGACCCACAGCAAACGGAGTCCATGCCTCCAGCACCACCCTCCACCTCTCCTCCCCCTCCCCCTCCACAACATCTCCTCCTCCTTTCCTTCCGAGTGAGGAGTCAGCGGGGGACAGGGCTGATGCAACCACCTGAAATTCGAACATGAATGAATGAGAGACGATGCATTTGTAATGCATAACCGAGCAGGTTTTGAGACGTCTCAAAAGTCACACAATGCATAGCCGAGTGCCTTTAGTGCTTCGTAAGTCCATCCACCCCATCCTTAGGTGAAAGCAGCTTAGATAGGTGCTCAAGTTTTTGGAACAAGGCGATCATGGGTAAAAAAGTACATCTGTCATAAATGCTCCAATGGGAGCAATCAATCACCTTGGCGGCCAATCGGAAGATGTCATTTGATTCTGCGAAGGTTGGGATGGAGGGAAAGGAAAGGACAGAGACATTGGAAAGAGAAGGGCGGAAATGGGGAATGAAAAGAGAATGAAGAAGAGGCTGCTGAAGCACCTCGAAGACTGGAGGACGGCAATCGAGAAGAAGAGAAAAGGGGGTCGGATGGTGAAAGGAAGACAGATAGCCATGGCCTACTTGGGAGAGGATGATTGGGTTGGAAACAAACATGAATGGGAACAAACATGAATGGGAGCAGATAAGAGGGTCCTTGGCACATGAGGCATGGCTCACTTCAGATCAATTTTGAAAATACTCAAAAAGTTATTTCAGATAAGAGGTGTCAGTAGCAGACAGGTGGGCTGCGATGCAGTGATTTCAGATAAGCGGATCCTTGGCACGTGAGGCATGGCTCACGCTTTTGAGTCGACTCAAAAGCGGATCCTTGGCCTGTGAGGCATGGCTCACGCACAGCATGGCATGGGCACGAGTGTAGAGTCCCAACCCCTTATCTTCCCTCACCATCAGGTGACTTTTGAGTCGACTCAAAAGTCACCCCTTATCTTCCCTCACCATCAGCATGGGTGTAGAAGGCCTTGAGAGCCTGAGTGTCCTTGGCATGTGACGCATGGCCCAGGCACAGCAAATTCTCACCCTTGTACCTCCCATAACGCTCAGCATCAGCATTGCCTTACCATCAGCATGGGTATAGAAGGCCTTCAGGGCCTCAGTGTCCTTGGCATGTGAGGCATGGCCCACGCACAGCATGGCATGACCATCCGCCCATGCTGACGTGGCACAGGTGGCGCTGATGAAAGGGGTGCCGTGATCCATGGGGTAGTGCGATGGGATAAGGGGGGATAGGGGAGGATAGGCATGCAACACAGCATCATCACTTGCGTATGGCATGGAAATAGTGGACATGGGGCATGGCATGCATGCAGCGGCATGATTTGCAGTAGGACATGTAGTATGGTTATGGATGGGGTATGTATGGTATGTCATGAGGTGTAGAACATGTGGTATGCAGCAAAGGGGAAACACGGCCACACCATCAGCATCCCCTCACCACATACACCCTTCCCCCCATGCGCCCTCCCCACCGCCTCACCTGCAGAAGGTCTCTTGAGTGCAGCCGCCAGGGCACGGCACAGCAGAAGGCAACGTGCCCACACACTCCGCATGAGGCAGCTTCAGCTGCCCGCTTGACAACTGCTCTATGAACCCCTCCACTGCTGCTGCTGCTCCTGGTGATTCCTCTTTACTTCCTTCTTCGCCTTCCTTTTCCTCCTTGTCCTCCTTAGCGTCCTCTTGATCCTCCTCGCCTTTTTCTACCTCTTCCTCCTCTCTCATTCCCTTCTGCCACGTCAGCAGCCGGGCAACAGCTTGCTCCAGCGGACCAATGAAACGCAAGCAGTGGGAGCAGACCAGGGCTCGGGCCTGTAACAGGGGTTGAGGGTATGGGGTTTGAGATGAGGGTTCAAGATATCGGGTATAACGTGGAGACAGACAGATGCAGCAGCTACTCTAGCGGGCCAACGAAAAGCAGGCGGTGGGGTGGGGTGGGACGCCAGTGCTTCGGCCGAGTTTTGAGTCGACTCAAAACTCGACTAGCTACTCTAGCGGGCCAATGAAAAGCAGGCGGTGGGACGCCAGTGCTCGGGCCGGAACAAGACAGGAAGGGACGAGAAAAGAGAAAGGGAAGAGGAAGAGAAAGTGGGGAGGAGACGAAAGCATCAACAGGATAGTTGACAAAGCAAGAACGGAGAAGCGTAAAATTAGTGCAATAACGAATGGGGCAAGAACAGGAACATACTAGTGGTTTCCGGGTACTGGATGATACTAGCCCACTCGTTGCCCTAATCTGAGTGTACAGATTACCCTATTGTGAGAGTGTTGCATGCTGACCAACGGAGGCTCCTGCAGCACCACGTCACCCTCCTTGAAATCCACGTCAGCAAACACCCCTGATTGGACGGGAGTGGAGGAGTCAGCACACACAAAGTGCAGAGAGAGTAGATCAGCTGACAGCTGGCAGCCTGGCAGGCAGAGCGTGCATGCAACGTGACGGCCTATGAACGTTCTTAAAGACCGACAGTGAGCAGATTAGTGAAGCAATTAAGTGAAACAAGGGCAAGTTTCCTTAGAGAACTCGTGCACTGGACGAGCTTGGGGAGCCCCTAGTTTAGAAGTTTAGCCTAGGGCGAAGTTTAGCCTAGGATGAAGTTTAGCCTAGGATGAAGTTTAGCCTAGGACTCCCCTCCACTCATCGCCTGATCACCTCAGAAGAAGCGGTGGGCGTTTTCAATCTACTCAGCCTAGGACCCCCTTCCACTCATCAATTCGCTCAATCTCGCTCATCCCCTCGCCAAGCGTCGCTCATTACCTCGCCCCATGTCGCTCGTGTGTCGCACAGTGAGCCCTGCGCCCACGCCCGTCGCGAAGAGGTCGCGGAAAAACCGCTGAAGCACGGGAATTACGAGGTGGGAAGACGTAAGAACACGCTCGAGGAACCATTTCGGGGTTGGGGAAGGCGAAAGGGGAATGTGGAGGGGGAGAAGAGGAGACGAAGGGGGAAAGAGGAAGGAGGGAAAAGGAAGGGAGTGGATGGGCGAGGAGGGGGAAGGGAGAAATTTCTTGCGTGGCAATGAGAGATGCCTGATACTACATTCCAGTTACGATGTCACTACGCGTTGAGTCGACTCAACGCAAGGGATCATGGAGCTACGGCGAGGGCAATGGAGACCTCGGGTACATTCCAGCGACGTGATTACGTCAGAAAAATGGAACGAGGAACAACTCGCAAAGCTGAAAAATGAGAGACCGGCGACTTGTATAATGCCTTTTAAACTAGGGTCAATAACAGGAGTCCTTCTATCGCGTACGTCGGCTACCGCCTCCGGCGGCCGTTGCAGCAACTGCTCCTCTCGCGACATCGCCATGGGAGATCGAGCTAAGCGGGAGTTCAGCGCGCGTGAAACTCGCCTTCCTGATGCTGCGGCTGGAATCCAATGATGCCAGCTTCTAGAATTTCCCGTCGAGGGTGAAACTCTGATCAGAGTGATCACAAACTTCGGTACCATCTGATTCGAGAGGAGAATCGTGGGGCGGAATCATCGCGTACGCTTTTTAAAGCCCGCATGCAAAATAGTGACCCCCCCCTTCTAGTTGGGTCCACTTGATATACTGATTCAGAGGTTTTGTTTGTAGGGTGTAATGTGTTGCAGTTTTTCTTTTTTTCTAGATACTGAACCATCTTTTCGATTTTGATCGAGGAATCTGGTCGTAGGGTTGGGCAAATGTGTCGTAAGGGGTGCCAAAATCACGTTCATGGCACATTCACATTCGTGCCACATTCACATTCGTTCCACATTCAAATTTCCAGTTCTACGTCGTGGGAATTCCACATGCAGAGACAAACACTTGCATCGGTAGCGCCTGAGCCTTCTGCAAAAAGCGAGAGCTGTAGGAATGGGTTTGGGGGTGTGAATTATGCAGAGAAAAACAAACAGGAGAAGGTGATAAACAAAGTGAGTCAAGGAGTCGGAAGAGGAGAGTGAGAGGCCGACGGACACGACGCGAGGGGAGAGGGAGAGAACAAGGGGCCAAAGGTTACTGGTTGGGTGATGGGAGGGGCATTGGGGAGGGGAGGGCACGAGGGCGACGGTACGGGACGGGAGGTGCGAGCGCGAAGGCGACGGGACGGGACGGGAGAACACGAGGGCAACAGGAAGGGACGGGAGGTGCGAGCGAGAAGGCGATGAGAGACGAGAACGTGAGCACGAGGGAGATGGGAGGGGAGACCATGAGCGCGAAGGTGGTGCGAAGATGGGAGAACGTGAGCGGGATGGCGGGGGAAGGGGAGAACGTGAGCGCAATGGCGGGGGAAGGGAAGAACGTGAGCGCGATGGCGGGGGAAGGGGAGAACGTGAGCGCGATGGCGGGGGAAGGGGAGAACGTGAGCGCGATGGCGGGGGAAGGGGAAAACGTGAGCGCGATGGCGGGGGAAGGGGAGAACGTGAGCGCGATGGCGGGGGAAGGGGAGAACGTGAGCGCGATGGCGGGGGAAGGGGAGAACGTGAGCGCGATGGCGGGGGAAGGGGAGAACGTGAGCGAGATGGCGGGGGAAGGGGAGAACGTGAGCGCGATGGCGGGGGAAGGGGAGAACGTGAGCGCAATGGCGGGGGAAGGGGAGAACGTGAGCGCGATGGCGGGGGAAGGGGAGAACGTGAGCGCGATGGCGGGGGAAGGTGACAAGCACAAGCGCGGTGGCAGCTTGTGAAGGTTCTGCAAAGAGCGAGAGAGGTTAGGATTATTTGCTGCGTATGAAGACTTTGGGCCTGAGAGAGGGCGGCAAAATCGCCGAGAAAACCAATAGGAGGGAAAAAACAGAGAGAAACAATGTGAGGGAAGAGGAGAGAGAGGGCGACAGAAACAATGAGGGCTACTGGACAAGAGCCCGGTTCGAGGGCGAGATGAGAGGGGAACACGAGGGCGACGGGATGGGAGTGGAGAGATGATAGGCAACGGGAGGGCGGCTCAGAGCGAGCGCAAAGGCGACGAAGTGGGTAATGGGAGGGGAGTGAAGAAGGGAGCCGCGAGGGCGTTTCAAGGCCAGCGGCAGGGCGATGGGCGAGGAGAGTCGACTGTGCGCAACAAGAGGGCATTGCGGGCTTAGGGCGACGACGATGATGTGGGTAATAGGAGGGGAGACGTGGGAGGCGACGAGAGTGCGCCTCGATTTCGAGGCGAGCGCATAGGCGACGAGGTGGGTGACGGGAGGGGAGAAAGGAAGGGCGACGAGAGGGCGTTTCAGGGTGAGCGAGAATGTAACGAAGTGGGTGATGGGAGGGGAAACGGGGAGGGTACGCGAAGTGCGACGGGTAAAGGGGGGGCGAAGGTAATGGCGAGGGAAAGGCGACATGGGCTGACGGCGATGCGGAGGTTGACGATTGTGCTACTGGCGGGAAAAATAGCACTGCGCTACTAGGCTACGTAATACTAAATCACCTATTCATGCGAATAAACGCAGTCGTCGATAATTCCGTGCCTATGACACAAGCACATATGCTTTCCGCTATACTATGCGTGTGGAAAAAGACTACGGAGTAAGGGAGTAGAAATCAGGGAGTTATGAACCCAGGACCAGCTTGATATTGAAGTTGGCCTTGCGATGGAACACATCGCAAGGACGATGGAAACCATCGCCAGGGAACGGTCGTGCAAGTGCAGGTCGCAGAAATGTGAGCGGGAAAGTCCATTCTGGCGGGAGCGACAACATCCCATTTTGGCGAGAGCCAATCACATGAGCTCACTCTGCCCGCACGTTTTGTTTCAAGCAGTGTTTTGTCAGACTTGTTTCATTCTCTCTTCGCTTCAAAAAATATTGTCGCAACACCACTTTCAAGTTGGGACGGGGGTCACTATTTTGCATGCGGGCTTTAAATAGGAACATAATTTGTACGCTCCACATACAATGTTGATACACATCCATTTCATTGCCACAATTCCTTCCTGGTTCCACCTTTTCAATAATGTAGGAAAGAACTTCATGCAAACAAAAATAAATCATTGAAAGACAAACTTACTCCCCAAGCACATCCACAGGCCAAACCAATGTAAAACGTAGACCCCCACTTCCATTCAACGAGCTAGACCTGCATGGAAGGATGCATGCACTGATGTACAGCTGCAATCAAACCGTTCCATCTTTAGAAGCCTACTGAGGCTGGATACAGCTTCATCAGCTCTAATGATTGTCCCAAGTGGAGAGCGGAACGGAGAATATAAACAGCAGGCAGTAGGATGGAGAGTACGGTAGAAGGCGTGGCAAGGCAAGCAACGCACTACCCAAGCTGGAAGGGCGGGCAGGGCAGCATGTCAGTGGTAGTCCACCGGGGCTGGGTGCTCCTTGAGATGCTTGCCTGCCTTGATGATGGTCTGCCATGGGGGGTTATGAAGTGCGGGAGGCAGGAGGGTGGGAAATTGTGAGGCACGGGAGATTGCGCCGGCACAGCAAGGAGAATATCCGAGCTGGAAGGGCGGGCAGGGCAGCATGTCAGTGGTAGTCCACCGGGGCTGGGTGCTCCTTGAGATGCTTGCCTGCCTTGATGATGGTCTGCCATGGGGGGTTATGAAGTGCGGGAGGCAGGAGGGTGGGAAATTGTGAGGCACGGGAGATTGCGCCGGCACAGCAAGGAGAATATCCGAGCTGGAAGGGCAGGCAGGGCAGCATGTCAGTGGTAGTCCACCGGGGCTGGGTGCTCCTTGAGATGCTTTCCTGCCTTGATAATGGTCTGCCACAGGGGGTCGAAATTCAGGAAGCCAAGAGAGATTGCAAGGCGAATCAGTTCCAGACAGAGGCATCAACAGAACAGAGCTGAGGCCATGGGAGTCCCAGAAGCATGGAAACTCCAGCAGATTCCACATCTTAAACGCACCGTCGCGTAGTGGTTCATCAAGTGTCGCGTCCCTGGGCAGCTGCCAGCGATCCCCACACACACATGAGGTTACCAGGTAACCGCATTCCCTTCCAACTCACCGCAGGCATAGTGGGTCACGTCCCGGTGGTGTGCCTCGTCCGCCCGCACGGACAGCACCACATCGTACAGCGTTGCATCTTGAGGCAGCTGCCAGTAGTCAATCACAATTTCACTCCCCACATTCCACAATCCCAAGTGGTAACCAGGTAACCGCAGCATGATTGTTCACATCGCGGTGGTGAGCCTCATCTGCCCGCACGGACAGCACAACATCATACAGAGTCGCATCTTGAGGAAGCTGCCAGTAGTCTCAATCTCACTCCCCACATTGGACACACCCACGTGGTAACCAGGTAACCACAAGCACATATCTCCCAACTCACCGCAGCGTAGTGGTTCACGTCCCGATGGTGAGCCTCATCCACTCGCACAGACAGCACCACATCATACAGCGTCGCATCTTGAGGCGGCTGCCAGTAGTCCATGGCAATCCCACCCCCCACATTCCACACGCCCATGTGGTAACCAGGTAATTGCACTCCCAACTCACTGCAGCGTAGTGATTCACGTCCCGGTGGTGGGCCTCGTCCGCTCGCACGGACAGCACCACGTCATACAGCGTCGCACCCTTGGGCAGCTGCCAGTAGTCAACTGGAACCTCACTCCCCACATGCCCATGTGGTAACCAGGTAATCGCACTGCCTGACTCACCGCCGCATAGTGATTCACGTCACGGTGGTGTGCCTCATCCGCCCGCACGGACAGCACCACGTCATACAGCGTCACATCCTTGGGCAGCTGCCAGAAGCCAATCTCACTCTCCACATTCCACACGCGCATGTGGTAACCAGGTTACCACCAACCCCAGCTCACCGCAGCATAATGGTTCACGTCTCGGTGGTGTGCCTCATCCGCCCGCACCGACAGCACCACGTCATACAGCGTCGCATCTTTAGGCAGCTGCCAGTAGTCGATGGCAATCTGCGGCGCCGGCACATTGGCGATGCGCCCCTCATCGATCTCCTTGAGGTACTGCGTGTACGAGTGCACTGCCTCCTCTTCCAGGTACCCCACGATGCGGTGCGCGATGCGCGGGGAGAGGAGATACACGAGCCCGTACACTGCAGCGAACCCACTCTGTTGATTAGGAATACAGGGGTTGACAGGAACAAGAAGTGCCCAAAGAAGGAAATATAACAATAGTTGGCCATGCGCTCTGCATCAATTTCCTTCAGATACCACACGATTCAGTGTCCGATGCGCGGGGAGAGGAGATACACGAGCCCGTACACTGCAGCGAACCCACTCTAATGAATGCGGTAAACAGGGGGTGACAACAGAATTGAAGGGATGAAAGGAGCATCGACGGACTATGCATCTCGTTTTTTAAGGATAGGCTGGGTCTCACCCAATGATTAGCTCACGTGAACGGACCCCTCACCTGAACGGTGAATATGAGGCCGCGCTCGAACCACGTGGGCTGCGAGACCTGCATGAAGGTCATGAGGTGCATGCGCTCGTTCTCCGCCTCCTCCATCAGCGCGCGCAGTGAGAGAGGGATTGCAGTCAACCCACGGCTCACCAAAACCGCTCACCTGAAGTGAACTGCTCCCCGCAACGAATAGCTTACCTGAACGGTGAATATCAAGCCGCGCTCAAACCACGTGGGCTTCGAAACCTGCATGAAGGTCATGAGGTGCATGCGCTCGTTCTCCGCCTCCTCCAGCAGCGCGCGGATCCACCCGCCGCTGTTCTCCACGAGGCGCAGGCAGCGCATGTGCAGCAGCACGCCCGCCACCATCCCCGGCACCGCCGCCACGGTCTCCAGCATCATCGCGCGGCAACCGTACCGTTTCTGTGCGGTGCAGAGGGGTGAGGGGAGGGGAGGAAAAGGGTGGATTTTGAGTCTGAGTCGGAAGTCACCTCGTTTCCGGCACCATCGCGCGGCAACTGTGCCGTTTCGGCGCGGTGGAGTGTTGCGCGACGGGAGGAAATGGGCGACGAGGAATAGAGCAGATAGAGAAAAATGAACCAGACGAGCGGAGTAGCTGGAAAATCGACAAATGCGTATGCAGCAGAGCTAAGAGATGAGGGCAAGGAACAAGACAGCGACGAGGTCCTGGCGGGAATCTGGTAACATAAACGAAGTGCGGAGCGTTGCGGAGCAGAGCAAACACCTGGAAGAACAGGTCTGTGGGGAAGCGGAGCGACTTCACGAGGTACTTGGCGAAAGCGTCACCGAATCCGGTAACCGGAAAGTGCCTGTCAAGTTCTGTCTTTCGGTTAGCGGTGTAGCTGTCCGTGGGCTGCGCACATCACCAAACGAAAACGGTGAGTGACTCAATATCAAGGATACAAAGCCGAACAAGCCCACAAATCATACGTACATTCAATTAGTAACATTAACGCTATATTCTCCTAACAATATCTCTACCCCAATCTTCATATTTTTCATCACAACAAATCACTCACCCGGAAGGAATTCCAGGGCCAGGGCGTGCCATCCTCACGCAGGTACTGCTTGGGCTTGATTCCCCAATACTGGGAAAGCGCTTCCGGATCCAGTGCAATCTTCTTCATGTCTACTGGAGGCTCGTTTTGCGCCTTGGGCTGCACGCCAGAAAGCAAACCAGCGTTATTAGCGAGGCTGCAAATATTGCATGCTTTTGTTGAAGTTTCAGTCGACGACAGCCAAGAGAGACGTACTTTGACAAAAGGCGTTTGTAAGACAAACATAGTCATTCAGTCATGTCGTTTACCTTGCTGCTCTGTGTGTGATCCTCTGGCTCTTCTTCGACGATTCGAGCTGTAGCCGTGTTATGTGGGCGGATTTGGATCTTGAACCGTTCAATCGTCGAGCTCGCAGCAGTTACACCGCCAAAACGCGGGTTCTGTGTCGTCCACTTCTGGCCAATCATCGCGCTAGGCGCCGGCGAAGCCGCCGCTGTGGTTGAAGCGTGAGAGACGCTCCAGTAGGCTGCTCGCGACACTGAGTTGGAAGCCTCGCCTGCCGCGGAGCCGATGCGCGCTGCAGGAGCGAAATTTGACGATGACGTGACGTTCCGAAGTGCGCCAATCCTCCCAGTGCTCTCGAGCTGCAGCGAGAAGAAATAAGACCCGGCATAACTACTACGACGGTAGTAAAAAATACCGCAAAAAGTAATTTGTCAATGCATGTGGATCGCTTACCACAGTGGTGTAGCAGGCGAATCGTAATGTTGTCTGATATGCGGGATGTCCCAGCAACCTTCGAGCCGCACGATGGTTTCTCAATACAGCAGCAGCAGCCATGATGACGATTGATTCTCGCGTATGATAGAACTTTGATTGAACACGATTGTTCGCTAGCGATATCGACGGAAGGTAGTGGGAGGGTTTGAAATGAGATGGGGGTGGGCGGGACGGGTTGTGGCGATGAACGGAGTGAAGTTGACGGAGTTGTTGACGCTGCTGCTGCTCTGTATAAGGAAGTCGCCTCGATTTCAGCCTTTTTGTGGAGCTCGAATGTGAAATTGGTGCAATCAAGCTGGGCCTTATGAGCACAGCCAAGCTTTGTTCGAGTCGCGTGAAGGGTGAAATCGAGCCGCTGCTGGGACCTGATGAAGTGAGGCATTTGCCCACAGTTGAGCTGATTGTTCCCATCCCAGCACCGACATTTCAATTGGGCGAGTTTCGCAAGTACGTGGCATGAGACGGCCCTGGTAACTTCTCGCGAAGCCTGCGACGAGGAGAAATTTGCAGCCGTCAATACCAATATGAGGTGGAGAAAGCGAACGGCTGCCACGAAAATTGTCCAACCAGGTGACGTAGAAACTGCGGGGTCGTGGAGATGGCGAAGCTGATTTGCTGAGCTTGCTGACTCGGCTGCCGCCGAGAGGAGTAATGGCGGACGAAGGTTCATTCGAAATGTCTTCGACGATTTGTGCGGCCCAGGCGTCCGTGCAATCCGTACATAACCATCTTGCCTGAGTCAATCCGATTCTTTTGCTTTTGCTATGTGTTTGAGAAAAAAGGTACACCAAGAGCTATGGTACTTGTACCTCTACATGTAGATTAACATCCATTAAGTTTTGAAGGGTTTGCTTTGCCTGCTCTGCATGCCGAAATAACATTCAACCAAACCAAATCATACAGCTTTCTGCAATGGGGATTATAAAAATATTATATTTCTTCGACCATCATATTTTCTTCCTCAGCAACATCATATACAACAGAAAAGACAAGCCGACACGAATCAGGCGCTTGAGAATCACCTAGCCATGTGCCACATCAGCAGCACACTCATGCCACGGACCAACCACGGCATGCCAGCAGGCATTGGGGGGAGCAGACGCCGCCAGCACATGCATGACTGCCGCCCGCGCATGCTCGTCCCAGGCCCTAGCCATGGCTGTCAGCGTGAGAGGGCCCTTAGCAGCCCGCATGGCTATGGTAAAGCGATCCATGGCGTCTTGAACCACCGGTGATCTGTAGCGGGCAGCGGAAGAATGGAGAGGAAAGGTAAGGACGGGAGTGGGGAGGAAGAGCTGTTGTACCGTAAAATCCATGCAATGCCCATGGCTTGGCTTGGCTCCTCGCATGGCTGTGGTAAAGCGGTCCATAGCATTGTGATTCGTGAAGCAAGGGAGATCGGCAGCAGGGAGTAGAGGAAAGGGAGATGTGAGGCTGTGTGCTCTCGACCCATGGTTAGCCATGGCTGTCTGATCGGCACCACTGAGTTGACTTTTGAGTTTACTCAAAAGTCAACTGGCACTCTCAGCGTCGGTTAGATTTTAGGATGCTTGCATGGCTCTACGTTTGAGGCGCCTCAAAAGGTTAGGCTTTTGGATGCTTGCATGGCTCTACAATCTATTGAAGCGACCGAAAGCATTGTGAACCACTGGGAATGTGTTGGAGGGTGGAGGGACACATGTGGCACGAGCAGAGCAGCAGGCAGGAGCAGAGAAGCAGGCAGGTGGCAGAGCAGCAGGCAGGAGCAGAGCAGCAGGCAGGAGCAGAGAAGCAGGCAGGTGGCAGAGCAGCAGGCAGGAGCAGAGAAGGAGGCAGGTGGCAGAGCAGCAGGCAGGTGGCAGAGCAGCAGGCAGGAGCAGAGCAGCAGGCAGGAGCAGAGCAGCAGGCAGGAGCAGAGCAGACAACAGCTGCTCGCATGGTTGTAACATCACCTGGTGTGTGGGTGGGCTTGGAAGGGCCATGGTTGGGGCGAGCAGTGCGGGTAGGAGCCGGGGACGAGCAGGCGGAGGGGAGGGAAGGGAATGGCCACCTGTGGAGTGGAGTGGAGGCATGACAGGGCGGCAGCGGGAATTGAGGGAGGGAGGGAAGAGGGTTGCTTATTAGCTCGTGACCTGGAAGGTGGTCTGGAAAGAACAACGCGGCATTGTTATGTTACCGATAACGTGGCACGAGCAGTGGGGCTTTCATGAAAGCCCTACCGGCCGGGGCAAGGTGTTGACCAGGGGAGCTTTCATACAGGCAAAGCACGTGTCCTGTATTGTGCAACTTGTGAGCAGGCTCAAACTCCTTCCAAGCGCACGGCTTAGGAAACGCATCAACTGAGCAAAGGAGTGCGAAAGTGCAGCAGCACTGTGACACCATCCTCGGCATTTTTCAGAATTCCCAATAAGGGAATGTGGGAGTGCGTACCGAGGGAATGTCAAAACACAGCAGCACTGCAGCGCCATCCTTTCTTAGGGCGTGCGCTCTGCTGGTCTTGTTTAGAGTCGACTCAAAACACGTACCGAGGGAATGTAAAAGTGCAGCAGGACTGCAAAACACGTACCGAGGGGATGTCAAACCGCAGCAGCACTGCAGTGCCATCCTTGCCCAGGGCGTGCGCTCTCCTCGTCTCCCTCGCGCTGACCTCCACACTCGAGTCTATCATCTCCTCGTTCAGCCGCTGCGCCTCCCATGTGAGCGCGGCGTTGAGCTGATGGCACCGGGGGGTGTAGGTGCAGTGGTGAAGCAGGGAGAATAGAGACGAAGGAACGAGGGGGAGAAATAAGAGGGAGAAATGACGGGGAGAAATGAGGGGGAGAAATGAGGGGGAGAAATGAGGGGGAGAAATGAGGGGCAGAAATGAGGGGGAGAAATGAGGGGGAGAAATGAGGGGCAGAAATGAGGGGCAGAAATGAGGGGGAGAAATGAGGGGGAGAAATGAGGGGCAGAAATGAGGGGGAGAGATGAGGCGACTTATAAGGCGCCTCAGAAGTCGCCTGGAGTCGCTATCCACGATAAGAGATGCATGCTCATGTCAGCATGCGCATCCCTTCTCACTGCAAATCCCTCCACGCACCTCCCTCCTCATTTGCTTCCTACCCATGTCAAGAGATGCATGCTCATGTCAACATGCACATCCTTTCTGACAGCAAATCCCTCCACGCACCTCTCTCCTCACTCGCTTCCTCGGAGGGAACAGTGCCGCTGCAGGCTGTGGTAGCTGAGAGACGCATGCATATTGCAGCCCAGGTCCCTGTCAGGGACCACCCAAATCCCTCCACTCACCTCTCGCCTCACTCGCTTCCTCGGAGGGAACAGCGCCGCTGCAGCCTGCGATCGCGACACCAGCCATGGCCCATCCCCCACCCTTCCACCCCCCTCCTCCTCCTCCCACTCCTCCTCCCACTCTTCCTCCTCCTCATCCTCTTCCTCCTCGTCCTCCTCCTCGTCTTCCTCATACGACCCCCAGTTCCTCTCTTCCTTCACCTCCCCATCCCCCATATCGCCACCACTCAGCTCCTCGCCCTCCCCGTAGCCACCACCAGCGCTTAAAGCCTGTCTTGCGTCCCCCCCTGCCCCAGCATGCACAGCGCTGCTGGTGAGGGTGCCCTCATGGTCTACCACACTCGCTGTCACCGATACCACCCTCCTGCTGCTCCACCCCACACTGCCAGCAGCAGCATCAGCACCACCAGCACTGGCAGCACCGGCAGCAGCAGCAGCAGGAGCAGCAG